CCCATGCCCTGGTCAGAGGCTGTCCTGTGGTGATCCTCTGTGTCCCGGCCAGCAGATGAGGATGTTCCTTGATGACTTGGACTTGGGCTTCTTGCCACGCAGAGGACAGACAGCAGGATGTCCTGGGTCTCGCTCTGGGTGACAGCCATTGCTGATGGGCAGGGCTTTGCCCCCTGCCACCCCAGTAGCTGTGCTCAGGTACGTTGGAAAACCGAGCAGGGTTTGGCTCAGCTGGTGGTGGTGCTGCTGCACCCGGGGCACTTGAGGCTGTTTTGGTTCCTGAAGCTGAACAAGTGCTGCCCACAGATCCTGCTTTTACTTCTCAGATGTGTTACCCGGGGTGGAGAAGCTGAGAAAGCCTCAACTCCAGAGCAACTTTGGGGGTTGTGCCTGTCTGTGGCCTGGGGACAGCGGTGACAGCTGGCAGGCAGGATGGGTGGCAGGAGGGTGGGCGCCTTCTGCAGGGCTGTGCTGCAACCCGATGAAGGGGAGGGTGATGTCTGGGACCTGGGGCGGTGCAGGTAGTGGAGTAGGTGCTGGGTGCATGGAGCTGAGGGTTGGTGGCCCAAAGGGGGACATGGGGAGGACGCTTTGGGCCGCTGTGACTGTGGGCTGTAGGTAACTTGGCTTTGGGTGCATACATGGTGCTGCAAGGAGCAGGAGCCCTGAGCAGGGCAGGAAAATTTGTTTTTAACAGCAAATGCACGGGACGTTACTCCACAGTAAAGCCAAGAAGGACAGATGGTGGCTAAGTCCCAAATGGCAGCAGGCAGGGAGGGAAATCAGTGCCCAAACGTGCCAGGAGCAAGCGTGGAGCCCAGCAGGCCCTGGTAGGACACCCTGCTGGACTTCTCCTTGTTTGGGGCCGCCAGGGGAGTGGGATGGCCAGGACATGGTGTGGGATGTCCCTGGGAGCTGCACCCAGGACCCACAGGACAAGGACACGAGACAAAACTTTGTTGAGCCCCAGGCTTTGGTCTCTGCTTCCCACGCTGTGCTCCTGGAGCAGGTTGCTGGTTTTGGATGCAGGGGACATTTTCTTCCCTGCAGAAAATGCCTCCCAGGGACTTTTCCACATTCTCTTGAACACCGCTTGGCTCCTAGAGCCTTTTGTCACCTCTGGCTCAGCTCTCTGCCCCCTGAATAACTGAAAGCAGCCCCCAGGCACCTGGGCTCCATCCCAACCCACGTGCCCTGGCAAGGTGAGAGGGAGCATGGCGTGGGCATCCCATGGCAGGTACCTATTCTCTATATGGGCTGCAGGAGCAGAGGCCGTGTTTCACACCTTCTCATCTTTCTTCTGACTCTATTTGGTTTGTTTGATGGATTGGTTTTGGGAAAGAGAGGCATCTGAGCAAATAGAAGCAGCAGCAGCCAGGCAGTGGCTGCACCGGGTGCATTCGCAATGGTTCTGAACGCCAAACATCTGGATGCTCCGCGGCTGGGACGGGGAGGGCAGACACACTTCGGTCACACGAGATCAAAGAAGCCACCAGCTTTGCAGCGGGGCTGTCCCCGGCCACCACCAGCGATGGAGCAAGAGCTGGCAGCTGGGGCTCAAAGGCAGCTGCAAGCACTGCCGGGGCTGGTTGTGTTTTGCTGATAGCCACAAAAAAAAATGTTTCTCGATTGGCGTGCGTGTGACACGGGGCACACGGGGCCCTTCCCAGCCTGCACAGAGCCGCGGCGGAGCTCAGCACGGGACGAGCAGCCTGCCCCAACCCGACCCCGATGAGTTTGCTGGGGCAGGAGCTGCGCCCGTCCCCGCCACGTCCCTGACTCAGAGCCACGGGGCGAGTTTTGCTGCGGTAGGTTCAAAGCGCTGCAGTAGGAAAAACTCCGGTTTAATGAGCGCTTCAGCTGCGATGGAACGTCAAGGGCTTCAAGTTAATTGAAACAAGCCGGGGAGGGAATTTTTCAGCCTGAGCTGAGGAAGCAAGAAAAAAAAAAAAAAAAAAAAAGAAAAACAAATCAGGGCGATTGGCTCATCCCCGCGCCGTGCGATGGGAGCGCTCCGGCCAGCGGAGGAGACGCCGCATCCCGACCGGACCCCGGCTCAGGCCGTGCTGGGAGCACCAGGTACGTGCCCATTGCAAATCGCTTCTGCTGGCAGAGGAAAGAAAGAAAAATGTAAAACCTGAAAACTCGTATTGATCCTTCTTTCCTCCTCAGGTGCTTAGAAATGGCTTCAGTCCCTCTGTGGCGCTTTGTAAGTGTCCTTGCTGCAGAACATAAACTATTTTGGCGAATGCTCGTTTACACAGGGAAGTGCTAAGATCACTTTATTTATCACCGCTTGCGAAACAAGACATTATTTATGTTATCGGGGGGATGCGAGCAATGTGATGGTGCTCGGGTAACGTGGGAGGGATTGCTGGGGCCACTCACCGCTCCCCTGTACTTTCCAATTTTTTTTCCTCTTTTTTTTCACCCCTGAACTTCCACATTTTTACTCATGCAAAAAGCTCCCGGTGCCTCCCCCGCTGGCTGTCCCTGCATGGCTGGGACCTTCCTGGCCTGGCCGCAGCATTCCCGTGACACCACCGAGCCTGGCACGTGAGGGGCTGAAGCTGCCACGGCCGCTTTGCTTGGTTTTTTCCTTTTCTCATTGTTTTAGCGAGGTAGGGACATAGCTCCGCTCAAGGAGAAACAGGGGCTTCAAACGGGCATTTAAGAGTTTTAATCTGGACTGGTCTGCTCTGAGTTTCTTTAAAAAGAAACTGGGTGGAAATCTTTGCTCTGCTGCGAGAAGAGTGGTGGCAATCATTTACCTTGCTCTATTTATAAACTGTTTAGAAAGCCCACCATAAACCAAGCAGGATGCCTCTTCCCTACAAGGGACATTCCGCAGCCCACACGTAAACTGTTTGGGTTACTCAGGACACGTTAAACCAGGGCTGCTTACGAAAGTTGGAAATTTTTGCTAACAGTCAAACAGGGAACAGCACGGAGCTGGGGCCAGCTCAGTGGCCCCAGGGCCACATCCTGCCCGGGCAGCCTCTGATCAGCGTTTCTGCTGCGTGGTATTGCACTGAGCTTGCTGCAATTTGTGCTTTTGGCCAAAACGCTGGGTTTTGAGATGCTCCCACCCTGCTGTACCCACTGGGGGAAGGATTACAAAATCCTTCTTTTTTTTTTGTTTTGTTTTTTAATTCTTTTATTCTTCCTTTTTTGGGGTCGCAGCACCGGCTGCCTCCCATGGCCCGAATATTTCCCAGGAGCACGGGAGCTGCATCCTGGGCGCTCCTCAGCCCCTGGCAGCACCCTCAGCCCCAGCTGCACCTGGGGATTCATTTCCCTCGCGCTGGGGCAGGATTTGCATGCGCCCGGCTTACAGATGCCACAACGTGGAGGAAAACAGCAAAGTTGGTGTGAAAGCAAAGGCAGAAACGGGAACGTGCGGGTGCCCCAAAGCGGTGTGCTGGGTACCAGCAGGAGGGACAGGGGGATCCACTGGTGTGCTTACCCATGGGTGATGGGCACCCCGTCATTTCCCCTGGGATTTTTCACCCCTTTAATCCCCGGGGGGCCCTGGCTGGGGCCAAGCTGTGGGAGAGGCCGTGTTTGGGCAGGATTTGCATTCCTGGCCCTGCAGGAAGGGCCGCAGCAGCGCCCGCAGCCGTTGCTCTCAGTTCCCCGTGCGGGCCCCACGAGCGGCCGCTTCCTTCCCGGGGGGGCCCAGGCTGGGGCGGGCAGGGAGCGAGGGCAGGGGGCTCGCAGGTGCCCCGAGGTGAGTGGGGGGCTTGGGAGGGGAGGGGGCTGCCCCCAACACCCAGCCCCGCTCTGCCAACCTGCATGACCCCCATGCCTACAGCCCCCACACTGCGCTGCCCCAAAGCAAGCGCATGCCCCCCCCCCCACTGCTCCCCACAAGTGTTCCCAAATTCTCTGCCTCCCCCTGCACTGCCCGACACCCCTACTTGTTCCCCCACTGTGTGCCCCCCATTGCACTGCCTGCACATGGGTCCCCCAACGTGTTGTCCCCCCCCAGCACGTCCATCTGCCCCCAGCTTCGGTGGGATGTATGCACCCCCCAACACCACCATCCCTCGGTGCTTTCGCCCTCCTCTCACTCTCCTGCAGTGTTTTGGGGGCTTCCTGCTCCCCTGAGCCACGCGCTGGGGATGCTTCACTCCTCTCCTGAATTACTGCAGCCCATTTTTTCCTGGGCTGCTGATGTTCCCTAACAGCCTTCAGGCGGTGGCTGGAAGCCTCCCTGCCCTCCTAATTGCTGCTTTTAATGAAGTGGGAAATATTGCCTTTTATTTTTTTATTTTTTGGTGGTGTTCAGCCATGCTGAGCTCTGCTGGGGCAACGCTCCCCCATTGCAAACCCCTGAATTAACCAAATGCCTCTTTTTCCATCTGTGAGCGTGGCAACTCCTGAAATGCCCACCCCAGCTCCTCCGGAAGGGACGTTGCTGCGGCTGCCACCCCAGGCACCGAGCCCCTGCACCTTCATGATGCTGAAATCCCCACATTGACAAGGATTTGTTAGGCAAATCCCCCCGGCTGCAGCAGAGGTGCGTTCAGCAGCCCCATGCAGGCTTGGAAAAGTTTTAGGATTATTTTTTTCCCACCTATTTTTGGTCCTGGGCAGCTGCTCTTGTGGGACCAGGTTTCAACTCTTTCTGTCCACTTTCCCCTGGGGATTCATCCAGGAGAAAAAAAAAAAAAAAAAAAAAGAGAGAGAGAGCTTGAAAGAGTGCCCAGGGATGGCTTTCGGGCTGGGCAGGCATTGCCAGTTGGTGCTGGCTTTTGGGAAAAGCCCAGCGGGGCCATGCAAGCACAGGTGAGAGTGTGGGGCTGGCAGGGTAGATGCCTGGGGGGGACGAGCTGCAGGTGCAGCAGCCTCTGCACAACCAGGGCTGCAAAACTCCAAAGCTTTTTGTCTCTCCCTTAATGCCGTCTGTAGAATAAGCTGAGCTCAGTCAAGTCCCCTCTGCAGTGGGCATGGATGCTATAAAGGGGATAAAGGCATCAGCAGTGACGGGGGGGGCAAAGCTCCTGTACTGCAAAACCCAGAAGACACAAACCAATGCCTCCCAGCTCACTGTTTTTGGCAGGCTCACTATTTTTTTATGGACTCACTCCTTCCTGGTTTCACCCTCTGGCTTTGCCCCAAGCTGCACCGATAACCCCCGAGCACACCGCAACCACTGTAACCTCTCCGGTGCTGGGCTGGGGTTAATCACACCCCACAGGGTGGGGATGTTTTGCCCAAAATCAGGGCTCTCGAGGCTGATGAGCTCACCTGGGAGCCCCAGCCACGCTCGGCAGCCTTCGCACTCCTTCGCACGAAGCGGCTGCACCGGGCGCTGAGCAAGAGAAGGGCGAAAACGGAGCGGCCGGCGGAGCAGAAGGAAGTGCCGCCGGGGCCACTCCTCCGCGCCATTTCCTCCCTGCGCCTGGGTTTTTATACGGATGCAAGGGGCAGCGCGGGCGGCCGGCCCGTCCGAGGCCTCTGCCTGGGCTGGGGTGACCGAAGGGGAGCACCGGCGGCCGGCCCCGAGGAGAGGCTGCGGGTCCCTGCGCTCCATCCGGCCCCGTCCCCTGCGTGCCCTGCAGCCTCGCATGCACCGAGCTCCGGTTGGTGAAAGCCTGGGGTTGGGTGGACAGCTGGCTTTTGGGGCGTCACAGGTGGGTTTTGCATTGCTGCCACCTTCGTGCGGTGTTTTGGGAGACAGCGAGCATGTGCGTGCCCTGAGACACACAGAGGCTTTGGGGTACGCTCCCAGGCTGGCCCCATGGCACAGCGATTTGGGTGGCACAACAATTTGGGTGGCACAACGATTTGGGTGGCATGGTGATTTGGGTGGCACAGTGAATTGCGTGGCATTGCAGTTTGGGCAGCACAGAGTTTTGGGCATCTCAGACTTTTCAAAAGAGCCAGGGTTTCCGCTCCTGGCCCTTTTGTCCTTGACTCTCTGCATGGGGCCCTTTTGCTCACATTTCCCCCGGATATGTTTGGTAGCAGATGGAGGTGGTTGATTTCAGCACGATGGGGGTGGGCAGTCATCCTTTGGGGTTTTCCAGCTGTTCCCTATTTCCCAGCAGCTTCACCGGCCCCACTTCTCCCCTTCTGCTGCCCAAACTGCCGGGCTCAGGGTGCTGCTCCCTGGGTGCTCAGAGCCGCAGGGACGTGGCCCCACAGGCTGGGTCAGGCTGAGCTGGAGCAGGGCGAGAGATGGCTGCAAGGACTGAGGGAAAGCTGGTGGAGGAGATCCGGAGCTTCCTCCAGAATGTTTCCAAACTCAATCCCTTCTGTAGGACCGGAGCAGTTGTGGGGAAGCGACTAGCGGTGTTTGCACGAGCACTGGGGATGCCGCAGATCCCATTGCTGATGCTTTTGCTTATTATTTTCACCAGACATCCTAGCAGGGTGCTGAAGGCACGTCTCCACATGCTGCCACGGCTGCCTTCCCCGGCCCTGTTGAGCAAGCAGGGGCCACTCTTACAAAATTCAAGTCCTCAATAACAGCAGGTATTAGGCCCTGACTCACGGTATTAGCAGGATTATTTTATGCATGACTGGACGTAGTCGTTGCTGGAGATGGGGCTTGGTGCCTCCACCCAGCCTCCTCCAGCTCAGCACGGAGGCCTTGCCATCCCGTGCTGGGGGATGGATGGCTGCTCGGGCTGTCGGCTGCTGGGGAAGGGGCCTGGGGACCCCCAGGCTCCAGTCGTGGGCATGGTGGTGGCAGTGGTGGAGCCACACAGCACTTTGGCCAGGGCTGCAGGCAGCAGTGGGGCAGCACGTTGTGACCCTTCAGCACCCATTGGGGTGTGTTTGGGCTGTGGCACTGCTCCTCACATTATCGCTCCACTCCCTGAACCCTCGCATTTCCACATCCCTCTGTACCTACAGGGATGAGAAAACTTTGTGTGTGTGTGGTGGCATGGAGGGGAGTCAGCCCCCAGGCAAAGCTCCACGGTGCAGGGCTGCTCCCAGCAGCTTTTGGGATGGCCACACCAAGGAGCCTTGTGGGCAGCGCGTGGGCAAAGACCAAATGAGTTGGGGAGAAGCAAGCGTGTGGCCCCGGGGTGGTGTGGGGACAGCTCGGGGACCCCAGCAGTGGCCCCCAGCCCTGCTGGCCCCACCGCCACTGCACTTCCTCGCAGGAATCTTGCCTGGCTGGTTTTATTGCAGGGCACAGCCAAATCCTGCGCAGGGTCAGCAATTAGCGCTCAGGGCTAATTGCTGCACGGCAGCAGCTCGCACAGCCATTAGCGCACGGTGAGCTGCCTGCCCTGGCCCAGTTCCCACAAGGAGCCGAGTGCTGGGTTCGAGCACAGCTTCCCTGATGTAAAAACCCTCGCCCGAGCATGACACGTTGCAGGTTGGCACCTTCCTGCTGCTCTGTGGCGAGGGAGCACCGAGCCCTACGGTGGCCACCTCTTCCCCGCAGGCGCGAGGCTTTTGCCAGGGGCTGGGGCTGATTTTCCAGGTAGAAAGCAGCTCTGCTCGCCTTGCCCGTCCCCGCTTCCTGCTCGTGGGCTTGGCGATGTCACCGCAGCCAACTGTCCCCTTGCGTCAGTGCTGGCGCGGTCTGGAGGCGGCGGGGAAATGCCCTCCCACCGTGACACAGCTCTGCCGGCAGCATCTTGGTGCAGGGCAGGGAGCGAGCCGGCACTGGCGCTGCTGCACGTGGAGGTGGCCGTGTCCAGACCCGAAGTCCCGCTTCCTCCCTGGGGTTTCCCCGGCAGTTTTGTGCTCCCATCGTCGTGTCCCGCTGCCGGAGTGCATCCTCTTCCTCCCTGCTCACCGACTGAGGTTTGTCTGTGCATTCCCCATGCGGCTGTAATTTTGGGGGGATGCTCACGGCCCCGTGCTCCCCTGGGGTTTCATGTGGGAAGTGGGGCAGCGAAGGATGGGGGACAGGAGGGTGATGGGGCCGTGGGACAGCCCCACTCAGCTCCCTGTGGCAGCCTGCAAAGCCTCAGCACAGCTGAGAATGATCACCCCGTGCCACAACCAGTGCCTGGACTTTTTGGCAGCGAGTTACCCCATGCACGCTTCCACACCCTGAAAGATCTCCGTGGTGGACAGGGAAATGTTTCCTTATGGGGGTGTGTGTACGTGCGTGTGTGCATACACTGGGGCGGAGGTGTGGTTTTTGTGTGCTGCTCCTGCCTGGCAGATGTTAGGGAAATCGGAGGGGGCAGCTCTGGCTCAGGGCAGGGTCTGCCTGCCTGCGGTCCTGCTGCTTCATCAGTTGGACCCAGGCTCCATCCACCAGCGCCTGTCTGCCCTCCAGGAGTCGGCATTTGGGCACACCTGGGGGTTTGTATGGTGGCATAATGACATTTTGGTGGCATAATGATTAATTCTCGGTTCCTTTCCTAGTCGTGCTTACTGTAGCTTTTGGTTTTTTTTTTTTGGTCTCTGTCGAGGACTGAGCTGATGCACTCCTGGCAGCACACGTCATGGATTCTGACCCAGCCAGCTCCGAGCTTTCCTTCTGTGTGTGAGGCCAGGGTTATCTTCTGGGAGAGGCATTGATTTGCATTTATTTACACTGAAGTTCACCTGTAGCCTTGTGTGTCTGGGAGGTCTTCCAGAAAGTTAGCTGAGGTCTGAAAGTCTCCCTCTGCCACCCTCCTGTGGCTGATGGCTACACATAATTGCTCTGCTTGTAAGAGAGTGGGATAGCTTCCTCGTTTGGCTGCTGTTAGTCACTTTCTGATCTTACATAGATTGATTTTATATTGTCCTTTTTTTTTTTCTTTTAGCAAAAAAGATGATGTGAATGTGCTGTAAGAACCAAGTGAGATGGATGGAGAGCTGTCCTGTGAGAAGGTGGATGGAGAAATGCCGGCTGACATGGGGGATGTGGGAGGAGAGATGCCAAGTGCTGAGAGTGATACAAAAGGAGAGATGTCCAGTGCTGAGAGCAATGTGGAAGTAGAGATGTCCAGTGCCGAGGGCGCTGCAAAAGGAGAGATGTCCAGTGCTGAGAGTGATGCGAAAGGAGAGATGTCCAGCGCTGTGAGCGATGTGAAAGGAGAGAGGTCCTGTGCCGACAGTGATGCAAAAGGAGAGATGTCCAGCACTGAGAACAATTCGAAAGTAGAGATGCCCAGTGCTGAAAGCAATGCAGAAGAAGAGGCCCCTTGTGCTGAGGGCAGTGTGGAAGAAGTGATGCCCTGCACAGACAGTGACGGGGAGGGAGAGATGCCCTGTGCTGAGACTGATGCAAGAGGAGAGGCAATGTACTATGAAAGTGATGAGGAAGAAGGGCCTGATGCTGAAAACCCTGACTCTTCAAAGAAAATCTCGTTTATTTCTTCTCCCTTGCGGGCAATTGTCCGCCTTCGACGGCGATACCGGGTGCAAAAGAAAAGCCGCCTGCATTTAGAGCTCCCCCGAGAAAAATCGTCAGAGCATGTCCACGCGCGGCTGCTCCAGAGGCAGTTTTCCCTGACCCGATCCAGCCTGTACGGCTCCTCCATGTCCTTCTTTAATCAGAGTGGCTTTGAAACGTCACAGTACTTCACCTTTGACACATCTGTGGAGCAGCGTTCAATGAACAAATCCAGGCGGAAAAAGAAACGAAGGAAATCGCGGATAGTCCTGTATCCAGATAAAACAAAAAGATACCTTCCAACAGAGGAGAAGAGCAATGCGAAACGCTGCCTCCTCTTGCTCATTGTCATTATCTTCTTCCAGATTCTCAATGCTATAGAGAACCTGGATGACAATCTCCAAAAATACGACCTCGATGGTTTAGAGAAAACAATGCACCGGGAAGTATTTGGGCAGAAGGTTGCTGTGGAAAGTATTATGGAACTGCTGAAAGACTATCTGGCTACCCACATACACAACAAGCCTCTAGTAATTTCTTTAAATGGCCCAACAGGGGTTGGGAAGAGTCACGTCGGCTGGCTGCTGGCCAAACATTTTCGTTCTGTCATGGACAATGACTTCGTGCTTCAGTACTTTGTTATGCATCACTGCCCAAACGGTGTGGCTCCTCTTACTTGCGAAATAGATTTGTCTAAGAAAATTTCTGACATGGTTACAAGAGCAGAAATAGAAGAGAAAATACCACTGTTTATTCTGGATGAGGTTGAGCTCATGTCCCCAGTCCTGCTGGATACTCTCAGCCGATTCTTTGAACCCAATCAAACCAACGAGTTCCTGAATGCCATCTACATCTTAATAAGCAACATAGGAGGTGGCGAAATAACCCAGTTTGTTATCCAGAATGCATCTGCTGAGCTTCTGCGTCAGCAGAGGGGAGCTGAAGAGCTGCTGAGAGTTGTCCAGCCTGTGCTGATCCATACCCACCCTCTCTGGAAGTCTGCAGACATCATCCCCTTCATTCTCCTGGAGAAGAGCCACGTCGTCAACTGCTTCCTAGAGGAGATGAGGAGGGAAGGGCTGTATCCCGACCAGGACCACGTTGAGAATTTAGCCAGCCAGCTCAGTTACTACACTACAGGTGACAAGCAGTACTCCAGGATGGGCTGCAAGCAGGTCGTGGCCAAAGTCAACCTGCTGTAGTGACTCACTGCGGAGACTGAACCCTGTGCTCAGGATTTACAAAATTCTGGGCTTACAGAGGAGTTTTACAGAGGCCTGTGGTCCAGGTGGCCTCCTGCCACCTGCTCAGAGGCTGCCCTGGTTGAGGCAGTGGGATGGCAGCCTGAGCTCCTCTGCAGTACGATCGCTCTTCTCCAGATGCCTCACTTGTTCCTGCTGTGCTGTGAACAAGGCACGGTCAACGAAGCCCAGCAGCCTCCCAGTAATTTGGAGATGTTTTGTTTGTTCCTCACGTGCTCATTCAGGACACTGGTCATTAAGGAGTTGTGAGATGAGAACAGATGTTGTGGGGAACAAGCCAAAGGGAAGGAACCATGACCCATTTGGGTTTCCTGTCTTGGCAGCACAGGGAGCTGCATCTCGCTCCTTCTCCAGGCTCAGTCTTCACCCCTTCGTTCTTCTTGATCCTGGCTGGTGTTGTGCAAGCCAGGTGGCTCTGCAGAACAGAGTCAATGCTGCCAGCATTGGGGATGCCTTGAGAATGGAGAATTTGTGGCCCCTCAGCCCTAAATGCCTGGGCAGTCAGAGCTCTGCCTTCTCCATCTCCTACGTGACCGCACGCTCCTGAGGTTGCTTTGTGTTCTTGGACTGGTTCCTGAGCTGTTGCTCGGCTGAGCTCATACCTGAGCTCACCTTTGGCACCTCCAGCGAGGTTTCTGCCCTGCGAGTCTGTCTGGGCTCGCCTTGAAGACTGTGCCAGCCAGGGCAGAAAGCACTGCCAGAGTGGTTGGGGTCTGGTGCAGGCAACTTGTCCTGAGAGCTCTTCTGCTTTTTGCTCCTGGGTACACTTCACTGTGCTCATTATCTAGAAAGCCCAAAATAGCAACTGACAGATATTAAGTAACACACACTGGAAAAGACAATTTGGGCTGTCTGGGCCAAGGGCGGCAAGATCCTGGGCCCGTTCCTAGTGCTGCAAGGCCAAAAAGAGGTTCTGTGCCACTGAGACCTGGTGGAGAGCATGTGGCCTGGAAGCTCCTCAGGAAGAGCACAGGTCCTTGTTTTGAGCAGGCAATCGGAGCAGGTATTTATGGCATTGCTTTTTCAGGTTTTGGTTTTGTGCCCAGATCCCCTTCTACAGTTTGCTGTGAATTATCGTATACATAATCCTGTGGATGTTTGCACTGGTTGGTTGATTTGCCTCTTTCTAACTGTTGGTCTTCAAAGACGTCCATCACAAACTCCTGTTTCCAGAGCTATTGTCAGGAATAAATCCAAACTGTCCTGAATAAAATCACTCAAAGTACTTTTCCTCTATTTCACTGAAATGTGGTTTTCCTCTGAATTTTCTCTTCTGCCTCAATGCAGCTGACTCAGACTGGGAGCAAAGGCTGCAGCTTTGCTGAGTGCTTTTTGCAGACCACCTCGACGCAGCGTGCGCAGCTCCTGGGGTTTGCCTGTGGTAAGCCAAATGCCCCAAAACACACAGTGCAGCAGCACTGAAAGCTGGGTGCTGCACAGCTCCTCCACCCTATGGAGCTGCCTGGGGGAGGATGAAGCCGGAGACCTTGTAAATGGGCCCTTGGCTGAGACAATGCGAGGCTGGGAAGCCTGTGCGTGGCTTCTCCTCTTGCAGCTGCCCAGTGGAGAAGCCTTTTTCTCCTGCAGAATTGCCTGTGAGAGCAGCTGGGGCAGGGAGTCCACAGGGCTGGTTGCATGGCTTAGGGGAAGGGCTCTGAATGAAGCTGAGCCACCCTCTAGATACAAGTGCAAGAGGGCTGATCTCCACAAAACGTGACGTGTGTGAGCTGGTTTCCATAGCTTAATGAGATTTTACCACCAGCACAGTTAATGTGTTTTTATCCTGGATAAGAAACAGAAACAACACAAGGACCAGATTCCCTCCCCATCCACCTGGGAGAGGGACAGAGGTTATTTCTGTTTTCTTCTGCCACGGTCTCCCTCTTCTGGGAGGAACTCAAAGCTGAAGGGTATGACGGGAGGGGTCAGCATCACACACGCCGCCTGCACTTGGGAGTGGAAAATGTGACCAGTGGCTATCGTGTCGTGCTCCAGGGTGCTGCTGAAGCAGGCACCCGTGGGCATTGGGTTGCAGATGGCTTCTGTGGTGGTGTCAGGACAAGCAGCAGTGCTGCCTTCAGAGTGCAAAGCAGTCCTGGCTCTACTGAGCACAAGGCATGAGGTACACTCGTGCATTTAACGAACTGCCAAGGCTTTTGCTTCTTGTGAAGCTCCTCTGAGAAGGAGGCACAGCTTTCTGCTGCATGAAGTGTGGCTTGGGGACCACCTCAGTGCTGAAGAGCCAGTGCTGGACATGTGCTGGCCCTCCCCCTGCGCCCAGCACTCCTGGCAGCCTCCACCTCTGGAGGCCTTTGTTGGAAAGCATGGGCACCTCCAGGCTAGAGAGATGACTTTCCCTGCTGGACGACTCTCCAGGCTGTTCCCAGGACTGGGATCCCAACTCAGACAACTTCTCCAGGTTGTCCCAAGTCCCAAGAGCTGGTTGTCCCAAGGTTGTCCCAAGAGCTGCTCCTCTGAATCACCAGAGATGCTCCTATACCCACCTGGCACCAAAATGCTGGGTGACAGGTCTGGATCTAGCAGTAAAGATCTCCTCTGGTGAAGCTTGAATGTGATGACCAGATAGTGGTGGCTTGTCTTTAGTCCTCTTCTGTCTCGAATACTCCTGAAACAGGACCCAGGGTGCTCCCAGAGAGATTTCTCTCCATGGCTGTGGCTGAGGTGCTATGGTTCATGTAGATGAACCTCTGAATTCCCAGGGACCTGTTCTCCACTTTTCTCCCCTAACCCTTTTTCTCCTACTAAATGAGCTGCACAGCTCAGTGCAGCCGCGTCATGCTGGCCCCTGTTCCTCTTAATATCTTTGTTATAGTCAATTGTGGAAATATGGCTCTGTAGGAGATCCCACTAGGGATAAAGACACTGATGACAGCTGCACCTTTGTTCTGTGCTTTCATCAGCTCCACAGGTGAAAGGTGGCTGCTCTAAACGTGGGAGCCACCGTATATATTTGGTGTAGGTGTGGCTGGGATGGCATCCTGTGTTGGCAAAAGAAGGCGAGAGCTGTTGTTCAGCCAGAAACACCTCCTTGTTGAATTTGGAGCTGTATTTTGCTGTGGGCACAGCACCACGTTTGGCCCCGAAGCAAGGCATCGCTGGCTCCGTAATTAAGGCAGCTCTAGGAGAACTACTCCCTATCATGGGCTGGTGGGTGCTCGTGGGGACTCTGCACCCTGAAGCCAGAGCCGTTTTGGGGCTGAATTCTCTTTTAGCATTTACCATGGGGAGAGGGCAGAGTGATACCAGGTATGTGATGGTGAGGATGTGGAAACCGCTGCTGTTGCTGCCTGTGGAAGAGGCAAAGGATAAAGGAAGGTAAAAGTAAACATGAAATGGTTCATCCGTCTTGCCCAGCACTGAAGGTACAACCACGTTGGCCTGGTCAGTTTTGGGCTCAGATCAGGGATGGGGATCCCCACGGCCCCTGGGCACAGGCTGCTTCACCACCACGCGTGGCACTGTCAGACCCCAGCCATGGCAGCTCCAGGAGCATCTTCCAATATCACAGACACACCTAATTAATTGACAGCTATTAGATCACCAGCAGGGCCTGCCCTGACCAGCCACACCCCGTGCCAAGTCACCCCCAAATCCTATAAAAGCACAGCTGAGACATCAGTCCCTGCGGGAGCTGTGTCAGAGGAGCACTGGGGCCCACCTCAGCCCCGCGCCTGGCTCAGCCTGCAGCCCGACATCCTCAGCTCATCGCCATGGACCAGCCCAGCACGACCTTGAGCCCTGGGCTGACTTCCCAGCCCCAGCCCGGCCCCAGCTCGGCACCATGGCGCTGCTGGATCTGGGCTCTTGGGTCACCCTGGGCTCTCAGCTGGACCCGGCCACCATCTCGGGCCTGCCCTGGTGGCCCATGCAGGTACTGTGGGGGCCAGGGAAGGCGGGCAGGCCAGCAGGCCGAGCATGCAGCTGGTGGGGAGCATGGAAGGGAAGGAAGTGGTCAAGGCACCAACAGCCTTCTCTCCGTGGGTGCCTAAAGCTAAAGTGGACGGAGACATCCCTCCCTTTGGGGTCAGCTGTGTCTGAGGTGTGACCCATGTTGGCAGAACCCCTCCCATTTCCCCAGAGGAACCCCCCGAGGTGGGGGATGCCTTGCCTCAGATACTTTCACCCCCTTCCCTGTCAAAGCAGCTTGGCTTTGGGTTGTGGGACAAATCCCTGGGGCAAATCCCAATGCGGGTTGTGGGCAGCCTGGCTGGGCTCCATGCCCCATCCCAAAGTCATCTCATTTCCCTCCAGGTGCAGGAGATGTCCCTGCCAAGCCGTGCAGGGCACCCCTGTCCCAGGGGTGTCCCCAGGCCCCCTCCATGCAGTCTGGGCTCTGGGTGTGTGGTTGGGGTTTTCCCTGCATTTCTCCATGAATGTGGCCCAGCTCCAGCCCGAGGAAGCGGGTGCACGCACACGTTCTGTGTGGGCTCTGAATAATTTTAGCTGCCTCCAGGAGAAGGGGTTTGTGTTCAAGTGTTCCTAAAAAGGAGCTAATTCAAGCTGGCTCCATCCATCAGAGCCTGCCTAAAGCTGCCTCTGGAGGTGGGTGCTGGCTGATAAGGCTGAGCCCCCCTGTTGTTTTTTTTTCACCATGGGACAATGATCCAGTGGTGGTGCTGCACCGCAGAAATGTGCCAGCCGTACCAGTTCTCAAGTGCCACCAGTGCCACCAGAGCTGCTCCTCCTGTAGCATGCACACCCTCGGTGCCGCCCAGAGGGACCTTGTCCTTGCTGGCCAGTGCCTGTGGCTGTGATGGCTCCACCAAGAGCTGCAGATGAGGTGTGACATCGGCCTGGAGCACCTGAGCAGTGCTTGCAGACGGATGCAAACTGGGGCACCACTTGTAGGGGGTGCAAGGACAACAGTGAGGCAGTTCCCACATATGCTAATGGTATGTCCTGCAAAGGGGAAGGGAAAGCTAATGATGAACCCTAGAAGGTTCAGTGCTCCAAGGTGAAGTGCTCCCAGTAGTCTTCACTAAAAACTGTAGCTGCAGCCAGGAAAGCAAACTTTGCTTTAGTAGGGGGAAAGGAATTGAGAACAGCTTAGCTGGGGTTTTCCAGCAGCTGGGGGTGATGAAATTCATACGAGGAAATTAATGCAGAGGAAACTGCAACAGCTTGTGAGACTGCACGGAAGTGGGGTGGGATGCCAAGAGGCTGAAGGGGAAGGAGCACCCCCTTAGGAAGGGTGGGAAGGCCCAGGGAAATACAGGAGCAAATACATTAGCAGCAAGCACATAGCAAATAAGGGAGAAGTAACACCCAACATCTTCCAAGTTATGACCCCAGAGTTTCATTTTCTCCTTTATTGGGGTATTTTGGAGAATATCTGTTAGTAGTTGTTATTTGGATGAACTGGAAGGAGCTTTCCAGAGCTGGGTCCCTGTGGGATGCTCTTTGGACGGGCAACCCGGAGTGAGGTCTGGCAGAAGGAGCAGCAGGGGAGGGCAGGAGCGAGCGAGTGCACGTCGCAGGATGGGAGAGTGAAGGGCTGGAAGGAGAACAGCCCTGGGGCATCGCCACGCCAGCAATAACACCATGGGGCTGCGGGAAAGGCAAGCATCCCATTAAAATGTATAAATAGGTGTGTTGCATATACAAGGGATGAAGTAATGTGGGGCTGCGGCTGGTGTGCGGGGGCCTTATTTGGGCACCCTGGCAGGAGGGAGCCCGGGGCTGTGCCGCGCGAGCCATCGTGCCCACAGACATGAACTGTGGCGGGGAAAAGTTTCAGGTGAAACATGATAAGAGCTTTCAAATATGCAAAAGATGGGAAGGAGACAACGGGGCTCGGTTTGCCAGGCTCTCCTCATGCAGGGCGTGGAGTCAGCTCTGGAGAACGTGGGTTAGGTTAAAGTGCAGGAAAATTGCTGCGGCAGCAGAGCACAAAAATGGGTTGATGAGAGCAGCCACAGAATTGGTGCCATTGAGCCGGGGGATGGAGGAGGATGCTTGAGCAGGGCTTGGCCTTGGTGGGCTCACGGGCTCCTGTTTTGCTTGTCTTCTGTCACCCCTTGGTGCCTGCCAATGGCTCAGCTGTAGCTTTGTCCTGCCCAGCAGACAGCTGATCTCTTTGCAGAGATTGCACCAGTTTATTGTTACACCTCTTTAGTTGGGTGTGTTTGGGTTTCTAAAATACCTGGGTTTAGGTGCAAAGTTTCAGGCACCTGTATCTGAAAAGGGCCAGGCTGGGGAAGTGTGGTGAGATCAGCAACCTTCCCAAAGGGACTGATTTCCCAAGTGGGGTGAATTAAAGGATGAGGGAATCAACTGGCACTAAGAGCAGAGTATGCAGAGTTAATTATTTAACTAAACCAGGCTAGAACTCCATTTACTTCCCCTCCACTTTTCCTTAACCTTTCAGTTTACTAATAGTTATTGGATATAATTTCAGGGTGTACATGTGGAGCCATCTCAGAGGACTGGCAGCAATGCTGCAGAAGGGGCAGCTCTCTGCTGCGTGGTTCCAGACCCTCTTGCTCCCCGGGTCACTGGGCAGATGCAGAGCTCTGCCGTGGGACTTAGCATCAGCTCCTCCTCCTCCTCCTCCTCCTCCGTGGGGATCGCTGAAAAGAGCTGCTCCTGGCCATGTGCTGGATGTGTGCACTCTGGGGTTTTCAGTGGATGCTGTTCTGAGTTTATTGACATTGAGCTTCTTGGGTAGCTTTTTATCAGCTGATCCCTGAGGCTGGGATTCAGCTCTCCTAATTATGCATCCTGAGAAAGCGGTGAGTTGGGGCTGGGACTTTCCCCAGCCCAGCACTCTGGGAAGAGCCTGTCCCAGAGCCCAGACCTGGGAATTGCCACCTGGAAACCCTTCCTGGAGCCATAGCTCCTGCTCTGTGCTCCCCGGGCAGGGTCAGGCCCCTGGGGCCATGCGATGCCCACGCAGTGCCCAGGTTATGCCAGCCCAGTGCAGCTCTGCAATCCTTGATGCAGCAGCCTCAGCATGCTGCTGATGGAAGCCACCAGCACCACATCTCACCCCCGGGTGCCCTGCCATGGTACCCAGCCATCCTCACCAAATATCATCTGCCTAGGACAGCGTGAGTTCCACCAGGCCATCTTGCCTCGCATTCAGCTTTTATTGTTAATCGTGCATTGCCCTACAGGGACTTAACCCTGGGGACAAGCCTGCAGGGACCATAGTCTTCCTCCCACCCACGTGCCCCAGAGTGGGGCACCTCACCAGTTCTTCACAGTTTTTGTTTTCTTCTAACTTTTGGCATTAGCCCCAGCTTCACCAGAAGGAAGAGTCCTCAGAAGCCCATCCTGCGCTGGATCCCAGCACCTGACCCCTGAGAGACATGTGTGCAGTGGGCATTTTTGTGGTCAGCAACTGATATGTAAAAGGAAAGGTAAATCATTAACTGCAGCTGAAAACCTGTTTTGCCCCTCTCCTGCTCCTGTAACTTGCCATGCCAGCCAAATGCTCTCACTCAAATCAACCCCATGTGGTGGGGTCTTACCTGGTCTTCTAAGAAAAAACAAACAAACAAACAAAAACACAAACCTGGAGAAAGATACTCTTAGATCTGAATGGTTTTCCTCTTAAACTTCTTAAATAGCAACAGCTGTGTGCAACTACAAAAAGAGTTGCTGACATGACTGTCTGAAATCAGAGGGTGCTTGGTGCCATGTTCCCCCAGCTTCCGTGTTTTCCCAATTCTTAATTTCCCGGTAACTTTTCTGAGGCTGCAACCAAAGGCATGGCATGTACCCTGTGTACCCCTGTTATCTGGTGCAGTTTGGCACTACTACAATTTGGCATGCTGTTTCTGATATATCACAGCAAACCACCTAGTTCTTCCTGAGATGACTTCATATATTTCTTCCCTGTGGGATGAAGGTTTCTGAGTCATGGGCTTGCTTTGCCTTCATCGGGGTCCTGCCATCTCTCCGGGTGCTGCTGGGGCCTTGGAAAGTCAGCGCTGAGCTTTTGCTTTGAGCGTGAGCTGGTCCTTGGCTTCAAGGTTGTTGC